AGGGTGCAGCGGGGCACAGCGGGGTTTCGGGGTGAAGGTGTCTGCGGCGTTTTCGGGATCCGGCCGGAGGGGCCCGGAGGCAGCGGGCGACATTCCCGGCCGGCCGCAGCCCCGTCCCGTTTTGCTGAGCACAGTGTTATCTGCCGCTGCCGATGTGCTGGGTGCCTTCAGCCTGCAGGACTGGTGGGACGGGGAGAATTAACACCCTCTTAGTTGGGGTTTTAATTCTGCTGCAAGTAAACAGTGTTGGGAAACTCTCCGTTTGCTTGCCAGTAGGAGGAACCAGAAGAATTCCCAGCCTCGCAGTGAGCAACAGCCTCCCAGCCCCAGAGTACATTTTCCACTTCCATCATTCTCTGCAGTTTGCGTTTTAAAACCCATCCCGACTCAGCAACAAGACCTTCCTCCAAGGCCAGAAATTATGATTCGATGTGAACAAATTATTCTCTTGCAGCTGCGTTGAGATTTGCTGTCTCCTTTCCCACTCACTCAATTATTTCTTTGTTTGTTGCCCCCATTACAGCTTGGCAGCCCTTGCTTTTGGGGGACAGCCCTTAACTTCTTTACATCTGCTGGATTACATGAGTGATCTGATGATTACAATCCATACACAGGATATTTTCTCCTTGCTGTTATCTGGAAAAATATGGGCATCAGTACAGAGGAAAGGGGAAAAAAAAACCAAAACAAAACAAAACAAAAACCCAACAAAAAGCAATTTACAATTGAGGGAGCGGAAATAAATACATCGTAGTCACATGAGGAAGTAGTAACCGCTGAGCTATTTTGGGCACAATACATCATGCAAAAGATGATGTGTCTCTCAAGCAGATTTCAAGTCCAAAAGGCACAAAATGTTTTCGGAAAGTAAATTCTCACATACATTAAGTACCATGCCAAGGAGTGAAATCAGATGCTGTCAGGCTTCCTAGTTACGGTTTGTTCAGCATTGGGGTAAGGAAAGCCAGAGCCCCAGCTAACATCACCCCTTTGGTTTCAGCAGGACAACACACACGCCTAGAACCACGCGGGTGCTTGTGGACTTTGTCGGCTCGGGATCGTCCTGGATCAAGCGCAGCGGGGAGGCAGCGAGCAGCTCTGCAGGAGCAACACCGGCTGCATAACCCGCCGCGGGCGTACACCCAGCGCTAGCGGGTCAGTCCCTTGCTCCCTAGAGAATCCTACGTGCCCCAAATCACAAGTGGCTTAAAATATCCTACATGATTCAAAACCAAACCGACTGTCACCCTTGGCTAATCATCCTCCTCTTTCCTGAGCTTTCCAAGGTTACAGCGTGCCCGAGCTGGAGGGAGCTCAGCAATGACCGGCTGTTTTCTCTCGGGCCGAGGAAAGGTGCCCGTGTTTCGCTGGCTCGCGGGAGCTGGGGCACCCACGGCCTGGCCCCAAAGTGAGGGGGGGGCATTTTGCACCCACAGAAAGACAAGGTTTGGGCAAGGCCAGCCACCGAGAGAGGCGAACATGCCCCCACGGCCCTCATCTCCCCCAGATATATTCTCAGAAGAGGAACAGCAGGGGTAGCAGGCTCTGAGGCTCCCATCACTTGCCTGGTACCACCCTGAACAATTGTTTTGGCTCCCTGCTGCTTGCACTCTTCGGATGCTTGCGGACAGCTAGCATGTCTCCCTCCCACCCCTTTTATTATTATTATTTTTTTTTTTGTGTGTGTGTGTGTGTGTGGTTTCTCCCTTGAAAGCTGCCAGGCAGATTTCCTGAGCTGCCAGGGCCGCTTCAAGTACAAAACGCCCCTCGCCCCGGCATCGGGGCGGCTGGCTGTTCGAGGGGTGCAACCTCTGTGCGGGTGGGTGACTCAGCTGTGTGGTGGAGGGGCAGCCCTCCGCGGGGAGGTGCTTGCCAGACAGCACCTCCGGAGGTTTTCACAAAGGCGGTAATTGCTGCGACCGCCGCGATCGCACAGGCTGCGGCTTCAGCTTTGCACGTGGGCAGACACTTGCACGCTCGACGCCGGGGCTGAGCCGGCGTGATTTGCTGCACTGAACTTAAACGTTACGTGCAAATATTGTAAAGGGTGTGAACGGCTGCGAGAATTAATGGGATCACAAAAATGAAGAGCAAGATGCTTTTGTTCGCATTTAGCAAAAACCCTGCTGAAAGTTTCGTCTGGGTGGGTAAATCTCAGGACAAAGTGCCTTTGGGTTGGTAGCTCAGATAGCAGCCCCCGCTGAGCATAACAGCACCTGTGTCTGGAGGATGTACAGGATTTACCGCTCCATCTTTGGGTCTGCACCTCTCCAGTGCCCCTTCCCAGGCCACTCACGGCGGGGAAGCACTGGGCACTATGCACTCGGCCACTGTTTCCCCCCCGAATCTCCCCCGTTTTTCTGCTGCCTGGTGCCAGGCTCCCACCTCATGCACAGGCTACAACACACACGTCTGTTGTGGTTATGGTGAGAAATCCCCGCTTGGCTGGGCAGGAACCGCTGGCTTTGGTTTGCAGAGTGACCAGCGCTGAACAAGTTCAAAAGCAACTTCCATGTTTTATTCAAGCTTCCTTGTGTCCTCCCCTGGGCTGATGGCTGGGGCTGTGTCCTGTACATACCGTCACACCGTAACACAGCACATATTAAACACTAACAAATTGGGGTCCCTGTAAAATTATCAGCAATCAGACCTCCACTGCTTTAAAACAGGGCTGGGTTTGGTTTTGGAGAGATACCCTCTATAAGGACAGAATTATGCTTTGTTTGTTGTACAGAGACTTTATTTTAGTCATATTCTTCAGTCACTTTAAACTAGAATCAGTTCAGATCCCCGAGGAGCCACCATAATGACAGGATTGACCTCACCAGTCTGGCCTGATCTGAACCATGGCCAGTGCAGGGTGCAAGTGGCATTAAAACCCTATGACTTTGCTATGGTTAGCATTAAAAAAAACCACACTGAAAAGTACCTGCCTTGTTTTTTTTCATCTCTCTCCAAGACACCTAAATCATCTACTGTGCTGCAGGTCTGTAACATGCACCATTCCATGCAGCTCTTGCTGGGGTCAGCAGGCTTGCAGCAGCCACGGGAGCCACTGGCCGTGGGAGCTGGGTGCCGGAATCCTTCCAGAGGGTGCAGAGGAGTGCTCGTGCCTGTCACCCGTGCGCGCAGAGGAGGGGGAAGCTCCCCCCGCGATTCTGATCACAAATAAAACATCTACCCAACAGAACTCCATGCTGCCTTGTCTGCCCTGCCCAGTTCCTGAGATGCTCCCCACCAGGACAACCCCTGCTCCCCGGGATCCCCCTGCTCCTGGGATCCTCCAGCTCCCCAGGATGCCCCTGCCCTAGGAGATCCCCCTGCTCCTGGGATCCTCCAGCTCCCCAGGATGCCCCTGCCCTAGGAGATCCCCCTGCTCCTGGGATCCTCCAGCTCCCCAGGATGCCCCTGCCCTACAAGATCCCCCTGCTCCCCAGGATGCCCACGTCCCCCAGGATCCACATGTTCCCAGGAATGCCCCTGCCCCATGGGACCCCCCTGTTCCCGGGATGCCCGTGACCCCGGGGATACATCCTGCCCCTCGGAATGCTCCTGCTCCCCAGGATGCCCATCTGTCTCAGGATCCCCCTGGTCCCCAGGATGCTCGAGTTCGCTGGGATCCCCGTGTTCCCTGGAATCACCCTGTCCTCTCAGGATCCCCATGTTCCCCGGGATGTCCCCTGCTCCCCGGGATCCCCCTGCCCCCCCGGGATCCTTCTGCTCCCCGTGTACCCCAGGATCCCTGAGTTCCCCAGGATGCCTGAGTTCCTGGGGATCCCCATGTTCCCTGGGATCACCAAGTTCCCGGGGATCCCCCTGCTCCCCATGTTCCCCAGGATCACCAAGTTCCTGGGGATCCCTCTGCTCCCCAGGATCCCCATGTTCCCCGGATCACCGAGTTCCTGGGGATCCCCCTGCTCCCCAGGATCCCCGAGTTCCCGGGGATCCCCCTGCTCCCCATGTTCCCCGGGATCACCGAGTTCCCAGGGATCCCCCCGCTCCCCAGGATCCCCGGGATCACCGAGTTCCCGGGGATCCCCCTACTCCCCAGGATCCCCCTGCTCCCCAGGATCCCCATGTTCCCCGGAACCCCCCTGCTCCCCGGCATCCCCCAGCTCCCCAGGATCCCCATGTTCCCCGGGATCACCGAGTTCCCAGGGATCCCCCTGCTCCCCAGGATCCCCATGTTCCCCGGGATCCCCATGTTCCCCGGGACCCCCCTGCTCCCCGGCATCCCTGAGTTCCCCGGGACCCCCCTGCTCCCCAGGATCCCCATGTTCCCCGGGATCACCGAGTTCCTGGGGATCCCCATGTTCCCCGGGATCCCCCTGCCCCCCCGGGATCCCCCTGCCCCCCCGGGACCCCCCTGCTCCCCGGCATCCCTGAGTTTCCCGGGATCCCCCTGCCCCCCCGGGATCCCCCTGCTCCCCGGGATCCCCATGTTCCCCGGGATGTCCCCTGCCCCCCCGGGATCCCCCTGCTCCCCGGGATGCCCGTGCCCCCCCCTCACCGAGCAGAGGGCCGGCAGGCCGCACGCCCCGGGCCCCGGCCGGGGAGCGCTGCCGGGAGCCCCGCCGCCGCCGCCGCCGCCGCCGCCGCGGCCGGGAGCGGAACGCTCCCCTCCGCCCGGCCCTCGCCGCCGCCCGGGGCCGGCCGGGAGCGGGGCGGGGAAGGCGTCGCGGCGGGGGCGGCGGGGGCTGGAGCGGCGCCGGGTTTCCGCCGGGCGGGGAGGCGGAGCGGGGCCGGGAGGCGGCGGGCGCGTCCCGGGCGGAGCGCAGAGCCGAGCGGCGCCGGGCCGGGGCTGTCAGCGCGGCGAGCCGGGGGGGGGGGGGGGGAAAGCCCAGCGGGCCGGGCCGGGCCGGGCCGGGCCGGGCCGGGCAGCGCGGACGCTGAGGGGGGGAGGCCGCCATGCCGGGCGGGCGCTGAGGCGCGGAGGCGGCGGAGGGCGCGGAGCGGCGCGGAGCGGGGCGGGGCGGGGTGGCGGCCGGGCCCGGGGCCGGCCGGCCGGGGGAGCGTCGGGCCGGGGCCATGCCATGCCCGTAGGGAGAGATGCCTTTTGGAAATGGAGACACTGGATCACAGCGCAAACATGGCGTCCCCGCGGCGCGGCTGCCCTTCTCGGGTTGGTGTCTGCTGTGTTCCCTGCTGTGCGGGGGGCTGGCGGCGGCCCGGGCACCCCCGGTCCCCGCTTGCCAGCCCTGCGCCGCCGACTGTACCTGCACCGGCCCCGCCTGCCTCGTCAACTGCTCGGCCCGCGGGATGGAGCGCCCGGGGACCGGCGTCCCCCCCGCCGCCACGGCGCTGTGAGTACCGCGGGGCGCGGCGGAGCGCCGGCAGCCCGGGCGCCGCTCGCTTTGGCCTCGGGGCGGGGGGGTGTGGGGGGTGTGTGTGTGTGGTGTTGCCTTGTTTTGCCCCCGGGCCGTGGTGGGGACGGGGACGCGCGACGGCGGGGACGAACCGGGGAGACGAGGCGGCAAGTTTGTGGTGAGGCGCGGGGAGAAACGGCCCGAAGCGAGGGAAAAGGAGAAGCAGCCCCAATATGCGGGAAACAGCCTCGGTGTGTGGAACACGCGGGCCCAGCCTGGCAGCGCTGCTCGGGCTCGGTGGCCGTGGGGAGGGTAGGGCTAGTGGCACTGGGCTGGTGGCCCCCCCAAAAAGTCACGGCTGTGGGGACGCGCTTGGCTCCAGCGGCTGGAGAAGCGTTTTGGAGGTTCAGCCCGAAGCGGGTCGTCGTGTCAGGCCCCTCGCGTCTCGCCAAGGGGTTGGCGACGCGTGGGGCACGCTGGATAACGCCGGCGTGCCAGATCCGAGGCAGGTACGTGGGGCAAACCGCGGGGTAACGTGCCCCGTGGGTACCCCGAAGAGTTGGGGGGCCGCTGCTCCGGAGGGGCTGGAGGGCTGGTGCTGGGAGTTTAGTTTCTGAGGTTCTGGGGGAAAGCGCAAGGAGGAGAACGGGTGTCGGGAAGCGAGCAGTTGGATGTGGTTGAAACACTGTTCTGTTAACAGAAAATCCAAAAGACTCAACTAACAAATCCAAAGAAAAATTTCTCCCTGAAAGTGCTAGGATGGGGTGACAGTTGTGCTTGTGTCCAGATGCTGATTTTGTTGGTTTGGGGAAATCAGTCAGAAAGGTATGTTTTTTGGAGGGGCATTAGAATGGTCTGCGTGTTCAGTCACTTAAATAAAGTTACTGTATGATGCAAAAAACAGACATAGGGAAAAAGTGGGGGGTTTTAAAATTTATTTTTGAACCTAAATCTGTTTTCCTTAGGGGGCAACTTTTCTGTTCTTGAGGCGACAAAAGCGTTGAGTGATTCATGTTGGAGAGATGACGTGGGGCCCGGCACAGTAGAAAAATCTCACGTGAACTAATTTCTACTACTATTTCTATTCTAATTTCTACTTCTAATTTATGTTACCCCATGTTAAGGGTCTTCTATTTGGATATTCCTAACTAAGTTTCCACTTTTTAGTGGCAATATAGATTAAGAGATACTGCAGAAGTTGTGCAATACCACAGTAAATATTAAATTGTAGGTCGGCAAAATGTCTCTAGACTAACTTCAGGAGAATGTGCATGTGTCTAAGTCCAGCAGAGAAGGTCTTTTCCAACAGTTTTCTTACAAGATATGTTTAGCATTTTACAAACAAACTAGCCATTGTTTGTTGCAGAAAGTCCCTAACTGGGAAAGGCTGATTTTTCTCAAGGGGTTTCTGATGTTGCGTTATCTGTTATCAGTTGGACTTGGGGATCTGCAGCTCTGGAGGCTGAATGTGCTCTTGCGACAGAGGTGGAACGTGCCAGCGCCTCGCTGGTCATTTGTAGAGCAGCCTTCTGAAGACTGTGATGAGAAGTCCTTCATTTGGCTTTTTAAGGATTTGGGGTTATTACAGTGTATTTCTAGGATTATTAATTTTGGTGCTAAGTGTTTGAGACTGTTTATATTATTGTTGTTCAGAGGCTTTGAGTTGTAAAAACACCCAGAACGTTTTGGATTAGATCCTGTTATGCAGTGACAAATTGAAGTTGGACATAAAGCTCTTGCAGGTCAACAAAACAAAGTGCCTGGAGTATGGGAAGGCGGAAATCTGCTGAAGCAAATGGACTGAAAGGGCAGGATGGTGTGACAGACATCTTCCTCTGATTTCGATGGAGAAATGTTTGTTTGCAGCATGTTGAGAGCAGTGCGGTAAGGGGAAGAGCTTTGCTCCGCTGAGGAATGATTGTCTTTGGAATTCAGGCCGTAGAGTCATCTTTGTCAGCCAGCAGATCATCTTGTGTGTACAGTCACGACTCAGCTGAGAAAGTGTGTGCTGGTAACGTTCTGATGACTGGTAGAAGATGTGCTGAAGCGGTCTGCTGTGGCACACGAATTTCCTTTGGGGAGAAGTTTACTGCCCTGTTTGACCTCCCGATGACAGGAAAGAAGGCATGTGTACTTACATCGTCATTATAACCATGGAAGATTTACAAATTCATTTCTGTCAGGATGAGAGGGACTCTGGCTCGTGACACAGTGAGGTTATGCAAGCGGTTTTGTCTATTAATTTCATGTTCCCTTTATTGAACACTGACAGATAAAGTAAATAATCCTTTTAATGATTGCTGTCTATTCTCTCATTAGAGGAAAGCTTTTTTTTTAATATCTCAACAAAACGTTTTCTTATTAGTCTGAAATGAAACCAGCCTTTAAGAAGGCCGAGTTCAGAAACTTACCAACGCCAAAGCTCCCTGATTCTGCTACCAGTTGCACTCAGCAAATGCGATACCGTAGCTCTGGCTGTAGAAGTAAGGCCTAGGAAATCAGTTCCTCTTGTATCCGACGTTATAGATGTAGCAACTCTGAAGAAATAAATGCCAACCTCGGCAGCACTGTTACTAGGAGTACAGAAGTGCCCCATCCAAAGAATCACTAAGGAAATAAGCTCTGCTGCTTGCAGACACTACATACCTAGCTGGAAGCAGTCTCCAGGCAGACCGAATGGGAATATTGGCCCCCTCCCATCGCCAGAGTCGGGTTCTTGAAGTGTAACGCAAAGTCTGGCTGGAATCAAGAGCAAAATGTGTTTTTTCCAAATAATCTGCCGTGCGCAACATAAAAAAAACCCCTATACTTCAAGACCAACACGCTTCAAGCGGCAGCATTTGCACTTCTGAGTTTCTCTGTCTGAGAAGTGCTCTGATCTGATCTCTTTTCAAGTGCTCTGCTTTCAGGGCTACCGGATTTTGCTCGCATTTACTTTGAGACTTAGCTGTTTCATGAGCTGGTGTCACTTCTTTCATTCTTCAGCTGAAAGTAAACCTCACAAAGATTTTCTGACTTTCCCTTGCAAATATTGACTATTTCTGACATATCTTCAGTATCGTGGTAGTTTCCAAGTGGAGATTAGAATCCTGATTTAAAAGACTAGAGTTGAAACTCCCTTACCTTTCCTTCATTAGTGTGGAGTACTATTTGTGGATGGGTTAGAGGAGAAGCTGAAATCAGAGGAGCTCTGCAGTCATCACACTCCTGCAGAAGCAGAAGCTTTGCAGATTTGGGGGTCATAACTTTCATCCAAAACCCAGCGGGGTTTTTTTGTGGATTTGGCAGAGTGCCTTGGGTTTACACTGCCTAGCCGGTGACTTCACCTAAGCAAAACTTCTTAAAATAAACAGATTTTATGATTCAGGAACCTACAGTCTGTGATATTTTAAATTTCAAGAGTTGGCAATGATCGGTAGATTTTGGTATTGTTATATGATGCAGTAAAAGCCTTTTGAAGGCTCAAGATGTCATCAAAATCTATGGGAAAAAATAATCCAATTAAAACTAAAATCCAATTCAGGTAAAACCATGAGCAGTGGAGAGTCTGTACAGTAGTGTCCTGTCTACAACGGCAAAATGGCTTTACTTCTGCTCCTAGAAAAAAACTTAAACAGCCTGGAATCTCATTCTTATAAGAAGCCACATCCCCAGCAAAAACAAGGCTGTGTTTCTCTTTTTTAAAGAAATTTTTGTTTGGGAAAAAGGCCCAAATGAGGTGCTAGGTAAATATTTTGAAATTAGATTCATTCAGCCTGTGGAAGGGACCAATCACATAAGCAAGTTGTAACTATAGTTTAGGCACCAAACAAGGAGGCAATTCTGCATTATTCTATCAGAGCATAATGGTCTCTGGTGTTAGTGAAGTGCCACCGTAGTGCCATTACAGCAATGGCATGAGCGGAAGGTCTGCGTTGTTTATTGTGCCTCTTCCTAAAGTTTCAGAGAAATTTGAATGCTGTTCCCATGACTGAGAAACTTACCTTTTTAAGAACTAAATATTTAGCTTTTTTTTGTTGGTGTTTAAAAATGTACTAACAAAAAATGTCCTGCTAGGTGAGAAAAGGCATCCCCGAGGGAGGTGACATTTGAAGGCGTTCCTGCTCCGTGGCAAAAGTTGCAATTAAAAATAATCCTGAGCAGCACTGAGGTGCCTCACTTCCTTGATGTTAGCGCAGCATTTGGAGATTTTGCGGTTTGCAGTTTGGTACAGCCAAACCTACAAAGCCTGGTAGTGGCAGAAAACCACACGTTATGAAACCGTAGCAAACCATCTCTCAGCCCTGCGGGGCAGAGGGCAGAGCTGCTGTCTGACTGCCCGCTCCTGACCCTGCTGCGGCCGTCGTAGAAACGAACACCGTGTCATCTTTTGGGGTTCCTTTGACATCTGGTGTATTTTTTACCATGTACTGTCTGCACTGATTTTTTTTTTTTTTCCCCCCTGTATTTCCTGCAATTTTTATGTTTACTGGTGGTGTCTTTCTGCGTGTGGCTTTTTTCCTGATAGAAGTGTGGGACCAATCCTACTCTTTTGCTGGCAAGGCCCCGCCAGGTCTCTCTCGTGTTTCACCCAGCTGCTTTCATTCTGCTTTCACAAATAGGGGTTTTAAAAAGAAAATCACTCAATCAGGAGGTATGGTGGAACAGACTCATATGGTTTCTTAATGCTTCTCTCCCTGTTCACCATTTAATGGGATTTCTTATTTTATCTCGTCATGCCACGCTTTCCACACTGTGGTTTCCGTAATGTGGTTCTGTGTCATCCTTTCTCCATTTCTTCAAGCTTTGTTGTCCTTTGATTGATCATTGCAGTTCAGCTTGATTTTGTGTCTCGTGTCTTATTTCCCCCATATGTCGCCAAACATTTATCTGAGTTGAATAAGAAAGTAAGCGGGGATGAAGGACAGCTCAAAGATGTGCTTTCCAGTGCCGGGGTGGAGCGGGTGGGAGCTGCACAGGCAGAAGTTCTTGCTCTTACTGCGTGGAGAGTGCACGGG